TTAACAAAAAAATAAGAATCATAATAATCAAATATATAAATTAATTATTTATACAATTATCAATATTTGCGAAGAACATAAATATATCTATTTAGTAATTCATTTTGCTTTAGTTCATTGTTCTATCATAGTGACTTTTAATAAAAATGTCTTCTTTGTTTAATGAAATTAAAAAAAGAGATAGTTATAAACCAAAAGTAAAGGCAAAATTGGACTTACATCTTTTGCTAAAAGAAGAAGATATATTTAGGCTTAAATATTTGTTAGATATTGGTGTATCTAGTGTTGTTAAAATAGAATGAGATTTGTCTCAGAAGAATCATATTGTAAATCGTGACAAATTTCTTCAAGAAAACGGCCTTAATATTGATTCTGATTATATACAATGCAAATAGTTTATTCGCAATCAACTAAAACATTAATTGTTAATCAATGTATAAGTAAAAGTTATAAAGAAAAAAATGTTATATCTACTTTCTGAACTACAGTAACATAGTATCCCTATGTAGAATATCTTCATTTGTTACAATTTTTCTTTGTGATAATAAAATTTGTAGTATTGCAAAATATTTGCAACATAATTAACAATATTTGTTTTCTCAGCCACAATGGAATCCACTATATAGACTCTTGCCTTATATAAGAAAGAGTGTAGAAAATCTGATAAATTTTAATATAAAAACTCCAGATATTCTTGTCCAGAATGCAAGGATTGTAAAAAATATATTTGGAAATCGCACTTTAATAGAAAATTTTAGAACATCACTTACTTCAATAGATATCACCAATGATAAAAAACAGATACTACAAAATCAATAGAATATTGATATTAAACATGATGATGTGAGAAATTTAGAAAAAAATACTTGGACCAAAAGCAAAACAGTCAGAACTAAAAGAAGTGTATTTGCATTATCAACCTTATACAGAAGATACTAACTGTCTTGAGATTATTATTTGCACTTGTGAACAATAAGAATATGTATGGAAATATAGTCATCAAAGCCTTATTCTTGTTGATAGAACTTTTGGAATAGGCAAGCACAAATTATTCTTGTTTATTATTATAGTTATTGATGATAATAATAAAGGCATTTCTATTTCTTTTATCCTCTTTACACTACCTCGATTTAATCATTTAACTTCTTCCAGATATGACAGTAAAATTCTAGAATGACTCTTTACAATTTTCCATAATAAGATTAGTAATAATTATAATCAGAATCAATCTCTAGCTACCTCAATTGTATTTAGTTTCCGTGCCATAATGACTGATACTAATATAAAAGAGCAAAAAACATTATCAAAAGTATGGCCAGGAATTATTCTACTTTTTTGTTATTTTCATATTAGTTAATTTTGTAAGAATGAGATTAATAAACAATTAGGATGTGGTGGTGAAAATAAACCAATTTTATTGTGACAAACCTTAAAAGCATTTTTAAAAAGCATCTTGAATGAAGCTCGGTTAATAGATAGTAGTGAGGAGATTGTTCGTAATTATATTATAAAAAAAAAAGAACTATTAAAACATATTTATATAGCAGAAAATTTAAAAAGTTCTGGAAGGTAGCTTAAAATTTCTTTCTTTCTTGAAAAAACAATGAAGCAGAGACCTTTTGTCTAGTTGGTGCCTTAATGGACAAATGAATACTGCAAAAGCTCTTGGAATTCCTTTAAAGAAACTTTTTATTATAAATAACTATCTTGAAGAGATAAATGAGTATTTAAAAAATAATCAGTTAAACTGATTTCAAAGAAATAATCGTCGTCTTAGAGCTGATATATTATATATCGCTCTTGTATATGAGGTTATTCCAAGTATCTTGACATTGCGAAACCTTGCTATAAATATTGAATATAAAAAAGCAGAATAATGAAAATATCTAAATATAATGGACCTATCTGACTATATAGTTATTATAAAAAAATTTTCACAAGTTGCATATTTGTCTCCAAGTGAAAAATATGATAAACTTGCAAGAAAACTAATTGATACAAATAAAATAAAAAAATATAAGATAAATAAACTTTCTGGAAATATTTATATTGAAGTTGAATCTGAAACCATGCCTGAATTAATTTATACAACTTGTATATATAAACAACCAACTAATATCTGTTGTCAATGCTTTGACTTCCTTCAAAAAGAAATTATTTGCAAATATCTTTGTACTACAACTCTTTATATTGAAAATCTTTGTAAGCAAGAACAATATACATATTTGCCCAAAATAGCTTTTTCAACTTATCAAGAATCCAAAAATATTCAATCTAATATATATACTGATAAATTCGAAATACCTACAAATTTTGAAGAAGAAGAAGATATTAGTGATGAGAATGATATTGTGAATAATATTAATAATGATAAAAATATTAAAAATAAAGATAATGATAATAATGATAATTTTTTATCAACTTTATTTAAAGAGATTCTTACTTACATTAAACACATTCTTGGATCTAATATTCCAATTGAAGTATCACAATTAGTGATGCCACCAAAATTGATTTTCAAAAAAGGCCTATTTCATCTCTATTAGAGCAAATTAAAATTTTTTATAAGAAAGAGCAAATAAAATTTATATATTTATACTCTTTATAATTTCGTCTATTCAAAAAAAGTTTCATTTTTTAAGTAAAATAGGTCAAAAACAATTTTATCTTCAAAATTTAATTTCGGGTTTTTGAACCCGAAATAATTTTGTTGGCATGTATAATTACAATCGAACATATCTATATCCACATTAACTCTACTAAAATATAATATGTATAATATTAATTTAAATGCTGCTGCTATTTGTCAACAAGAAATCAAAGAGTTCTTGGAATCTATTGCAAAATGTTTTTAAAAATTACAGAATAACTTAATATTTCTTCAAAATCTAGTTAAATTCAAACATTCATTAATACAAGAACATTTTGACTGTAGTAATTAAAATACTTTAATGTCTTACTTTTATAATATTGTTACCTTGGATAATTTCAAAAAAGCACAAGATCTGGTCAATATTATATACAAAGAAACAGGTCATCATAGATTTATAGTTTCCAATACTTCTAATACTAATATTATTCCACTTGAAAAAGAAAAAAAACAGCAACAAAAGCCATCATATACTAGTTAAACTATAAGATATAATATATAATACAGTCATCATTTAATAAAGCATAATCAAATATAATATATGTTTAGTAAAACATTATATAAATTTCTTAGAAAATTTTTCTTTTACTTACTTATATATTATTTGTTGTACCTATAGTATTTCTAGAATTGTGGTATCTGTATATTATACTAAAAAGTTTTTGTTTTCATACGATTCATAAAGTCAGTTGATATGTTCTATTAACTTGCTTAACAAATTAATACATGCTCTTACTATCATTTTAAGCATAAGTTAATATAAAAAAATAAATAAATAAATACTTAGCTAAATATTAAAGTATTATTAACTTTTTAAACAGCATACATATTTATGAAATTTATCAAATTTGTACTAAATGCTACAGTTTGCTTATTTTTTTTCTTTTTTTTTTAATACTGGTTCGTAAATGAATATACTAAGTATTATACTTTCTTTAATTTCTTTTTCTAGACTCGAGAGTTCACAAATAATACAAAGATGCTCAATATTTTAAATAGTGATAATTGTGTAATAGTTAAATCAAAATCTACAAATGATTGATATATGATAATGTTAAATCAATATCTACCAATAATTGACAAGAAATATGTGTTGGTAATATTGGTTCCTACACACTCTGTAAAGTTTATACAACCTACACAACCCAAACAACCTACTTATTTTTAAAGAACCTATTAGATTTCTTTTACTTTTTCTCTAAAACATGTATTTAAAGGTATTATTTTCACCTCTTTGTAATAACAAGTTTCTAAGTTCTAAATATCCTTTATTAAATAAATACATAATTACAAAATAAATACAAAACCGATCTTCATCTGAATACTCTTTATGTAAAACCTGTTTCTTTGGCACATGTTGCGACCTAATTCTTGGTATTCTCGATAGAATATTTGGAAATTTCATTACATTTAGCAATGATGACAGAACTACTGGTTGCCTACACAAAAAAATTTGGCGAAGAATTGTCACATTTATTTCTAATAACCCAATCTTATATATCTCATTAAATTCGCCTCCTACAAATAAAACCATTTCCCTACTCTAAACTATTATTCCCACATTCATGTTCCGATTCAAGCATTTATGTCTCTATATGTTTCGCTCAACCTAAGTTTAGCATCTCATACCTCTTTATCTATAATGCTATTAATCTAAAGAACATTAGTAGGACAATATATTAATGAAAAACAAAACAAAGATGTATATTGAAAGGATACACCACTTCTAAAAGAAATCCACAGTTCATATGTCTATGATTTAATATGTATTGCTTCATATTTTTGTGTTCTACTTTAAAAAAAAAAAAACCTGTATCTTAAAAAGAATATGTAAGAAGAATAAAAGTACAAAGCAATAATAAAACACAATAATGAAAAAAAAAAGCAAAAATACACATAATGTAAAAGGATACATCACTTCTAAATCTCTATATCCTATGTCGCATAACCCTTTCGACTAATCAAAGCATGTTTATTGCTTAACCCTGCCTAAATTCTTTCTTGAATGTTATAATATCGCTCTATATCAAATAAAGTCCTTATAGATAGAAAGTCATTAGCAAAGATATAGCAAAAAAAAAACAAAATCATATACTGTACTGAAAAAAAAAAAGGATACATTGCTGTTACAAGTTCCTACGCCCTCTGCATAGGACGTTCCATTATCTAACCTGGTTTTAAATTCTACTTTATTCAATTTTATATATATGTTCTATAACAAAGGAAGACTATAGTATGGAAACTACTAATGTCTATTTTGTGCTAGCTATGAATATGGCTACAAATCTGGAATTAATAAAAAGCAATTAAGTGAAACAAAGTATATAGATACACTGCTTTAAAAAGCTTCATGCCTATAATCGACCATACTTGTCCAAACAACATCTAAACAGTATCCAAATTCATTATGCTACACTATTGTTTTTTATTTAATCGTTTCTAAATAAAAATAAAAATAATTAGACTAGAGTTTTGAATAGAAGAAAGACTCTATTATCTAACTAGTCTCTTACAATTCTAACTAGTCCTCACATTCAACTTATAACGGCACTATATCAGTTTGTCTCTAACATTGTTATTCCAGATAAATGAAAAAGATTAGCTAAAGAAAAAAAAAAATAAATAAGAAAGAACAAAAACTAACAGTACTTGGGCTCCATATTTGCCTTTTTGGAAGCTCAAATAGAATTCCAACATTGAACCATGGCAATGACGAATTAAAGACCAAATTCAGCCAGCCTGAAAAAAGTCTTCAAGAAAACATTCACTCAAAGACTCTAAAAGATCTTAAAGGATGGAAAAAGAACTTTTATCTAGAACCTAAAAGAAATATCCAAAGATTTACCAAAATATTTGAGGACTTATAAATCTAGAAAACAAAAATCAGAAAAACTAGATCTAAAGTAAGACAAAAATCAGCATGACCAAATACAGAACCAAAGATACATAAAAGCAGCAAAACTTTGCCTGGGACCTGAGAATAAGTTAATAACAAAGCTTCTATAATAGAAGGAACCCAGGGGAAGAAATAGAAACAAAATCAGTGTTAAATATATATATATAAATATATATTTTGAAAACAAAGCAGAAACTAGAAATGAAAACTTATGAATGTAGTAGAGCATACAAAAACAGATCTTGGCCAAAAAAAGGTTCAAATTGCCCCAAGAAACTCAACAATATCAAAACTGAAAGACTTTTAAATCTACTTACAAGAATCTTACAGCTCCAAAGAAAAGAAAAATAGCCCAGTCTAGTGAAACAAGTAAAGAATCTTAATACTTGCCTAAAGATTTAAAAACAAAAACCAGAGCCAAAACAGAAGACAAAAAAAAGATTCAACACAATGTCGTAATATAGAGATCTTTACCAGTTAATACAGAAGATCTCAAACTTTGAATCTCAAAAAAATAAAGCTCTAAAGAAAAAAAGAAAGAGCTGAAAAATCTGAAATTTGAAAATAAGAAAATTGGAAATAAAAGATCAGTCTTTAAATATAATCAGAGAAGACAAAAACCAGAAGATCAGAAATAGAACAAAGAACTTTAAGAAATTACGACAAATCTACCTCAGCACTTTATAGAAAAAGTTCAAGCTTGGAGTTAGGCACCAAAAGACAAAAAAAAAGACTCAGGATATTGAAAAGGTACCCAATAGTGAAAACTTACCCCGGAATTATTAAAGCATGCTGGAAGTAAAAAACACACAAAAAATTCTTTTAATACCTTGTAGAAAGGTCCAAGTGTGAAAGAATCTAATGTAATCTTGGCTATAGGAAGTTCAAAAGCCCCGAAAAAAATGAAAGATTGATGCAAAAGAGACCAAAAAAAGTATGGCAATATAAAAAGGTATATTTAAAAAAAAAAATAAAAAAATAAAAAAAAAATGAATGACAAAAAATGAAAAATCAAGAGAAATTAGTAGATAATCCAATATATATATATACATAATGATCACATAGGTAACATTACGAACACTGAAAATCGCTAGAATGAACGAAAATTTAACTTTCTTGGCCTTTAGAAAGTCCTATAAGCCCGATCTTGAATAATAACAGTCTGGAAAGACTCTAAGCAAGTGAAAGAAGGCTAATAAACTAGAGAAATTATATACAAAGAAGAAGAAAAAAGAGAAGTACTATATAATACTTATCTTTGTTTTCTAAACTTTGAAACCCAGAATAAAGCAAAAACTTTAATGACAAAAGATAACAATAGATATATCTTTATCTTTAATGATTTAATAAAATGTTTTTTTTAAATTCTTTTATTTTATTTTATTAATCCTTATCCATCTTATCTTCTTCTTCTTCTTCTTCATTATCATCTTTTTCTATTTCTTCTTCTTCTCCTATTTCTTCTTCATCTTCTTTTTCTTTACCCAAATTCATATTATATATTTCTCTTAACTTTTGTCTATCTTTACCTATTTCTATCCTTGTATCTAATATTTCTAACACCTTATCTATATTATCTCTTAATGTATTATATCCTCTTTCGAATTTTTTTTTTGCCTTTTACAACATATCATATCTTTTTTCTTCTTTTTCTAATTCACTTCTAAACTATTTTTTTTTTGCTTTTGCTTTTTCTTTTTCTTCTTCCAACTTTTTTTCATAACTCTTTATTTTCTTCTTCTAACTTCCACATATACATTTCTTCTCTATATTGTGAATTAATATTTTATTTTTTTTTATTTTTTTTTAAATTTAGCAATTTTGCCTTAACTGTTTATTAGTACTCTAAGATATTGTGATTACAAATATACGTATATACATTTACAACTATCTAATTTATTACAGATAAAACTTACCCAGTTACTAACTTAGTACCTATATATGACCTGCTATATGGGATTTTATCTCTTTATCAACTATCTCGCAATAGGCCAGTTTTTTAAACTTACTGGATAGTTCCTAAATCTATTTTATCATATATATCCTACTTATATACTACTATACAATGTCTACTAGCTAAGGGAGCTAACAATTATCAGGTGATTTTCTAAGGGAGAGAGGGTCAAAAAAATTGAAATTTTATATATGAGACCTGATAATTTATATATTAAAAACTAAAGGGGGGTAAGCCTCTGATAAAAAAAAATCAGGTAATAAATAATACTGCTCTAACTTTTACCTTTCATTATTTATTACATTACTCCTAATTAACTTTCTTGTACTACTTTCAAATTGGTGTCTCTCAAGTAGGCACTCTTGATGCTTTTAGTTTGGTATTCTCAAGATGTTACTCTAAGAGCATAGTTTGTATCTCAAGCAACCAGGATGTTATTTTATTATCTTCAAGCGTTAACATCATACACTACCAAATTAGACTACCGATCCTTCTATAGTATCCCTATTGGTATGGTAATACAGAGGTCTAGATCCTTAGGATAGAAGTTAAGTACCTCATTTAATTACTGTCACAATCTAGTAACTTGAGACCCGTGCCTCTGCCGTGTTTCATTATAGACTTCCATATAGGTTGTGTAACTATTACTCCCTAGTCTGTTTTTATTTTTGTATCACTGAATCGCTTGCTTCTATACTTTTCGGAGTTTCTTTTAGCCAGTTTTTCTTGTTTCCTTATGCCAGAGATGTTCTATATTTGGTAAAGCCATTCTTTTACCACAGCCTTTTACTATGTTCACAACTTCTCTCATCACTTTTGGATATACTGTATTGTATTTAGCTATCCTCCCAATCAAGATCCCAATGCCGCCTTAGAGTTGTTGGTACTATCTTGCCAATTATGGATTCACACACAGCCTTCTGCAGTATTACCTTCTGTAACCCATGTCACATGCAGTATTTAGTCTTCTCCATAGCTCAGAGCTTCTTCCAAAAATTCTTTATCGTCCAAATATATATATCACATGGTTTTACCGCCACAGGGTTTTGTATTCGAAAGCTTCCAAAAGTTACAGAGGTAATTAATTAAATTAATTATCACTAGCTATAATCAAACTATTGAACTTGTCTGTAGAGGATTAGGCATCCAGAATTAATATTTTATTTTATTTTATTTTATTTATTTTATTTATTTATTTATTTATTTTTTTTATCACTCTTTGTTTTCTTCTTTTTTTTTATAATTATATTATATTAGTATTGTTATTTCTTATTCTATTATATGTTACTACTTTACATTTACTCTTTTCTATTAGGATGTCTCTTGCTTAATCCTTTGGTAGTGTGTGGTATATTTGAATTTTTTTTTTGTTCTTCTTGTTTTTTATTTTTTTATTAACATATTTTAAAATTCAAATAACATGATCTTGATATTATTTGATTGGATAATATAGTAACACAATTAATAGTTTTAAGAAGTACAATTTTAAATTTTAGTAGTTATTCTAATATGAATAGCTGGTGTGGACATCTATCTGTAATGCAGAGAACTAGAGTTTGAGACCAGTAAAAGGGTGCTAACTTTTCTGGATACAGATTCTATAGAGATATAGATGGCCCTTCATGAGTGAAATATTAAGATAACAAAGTTTTTTTTTATTATTTTATTTGTTAAAGTTTTTTGTTTTTATTTTATTTGTTGAAGTTTTTTTTTAATGACTTAACAATTTTTTCTTTTTATTCTTTAATTATTTTAGATTATTATATATATATTTTTTATGTTATTACTTGTTTTTATTTTTATAAGGCTGTTTGTTTTAAATAGTATATGAGTTTATATTATTATTATTTTTGTTCTTTGAAAATATACAATTGTTTTATTTTTATTCTCCTTAGTAGTAAAAAAATTTCTAAGTTATAATTTCAAGCTAGGAAGATTCTATCATGTATTTTTGAATATTAATACTTGAAAGATTCTACCACATATATATTAGTAATAATTATAACTTTCTTTTTTTATTATTTTTAACTTTATTTTATTTTTTTATTTTATTTTTATTTTATACTCCAAGTTTTATTTTATTACAGTTGAGTTGTAAAAGTTTTTGTTATAGTTGAGTTTAGTTTGTAAAAGTTTTATTTTGGTTATGGATAAACCAAGAAACCTAAAACCCATGAATTATAAAATTTTAGAGGATAAGAAGGTAATATTATTCTGGTTATGGGTAAATCAAGACACCTAAAACCTATAAATTACAAATTTTAGTATAGTTATTATTATTATCTTTATTTTTTTTTTTATATTAGAATTAAATTTTTATCATATTAGATTTATTTTTCTTATTTTAGCTTAGAGAACTTCGCTTTTCTAAGGAGGGGAATATGTAATAAAAATTATAATATTATAGTATTATAGTAGTTAGTTGTTAAACATGTAACTATTTTTCTAGTATATGACAATTACCCCTTTTATTTGTATATCACAATTAGTTAATTTACCCTGTATAGGAGTACTGTGGTCTATATGCAGTCTATAATCCATGTACCGTATATTACCGAATAGAAGCTACCCCAAATAGAAGCTACCCCTCGATTTTGGATCCAAAAATCTAAAAACGGTTACTATGTTTTAATAGTAAAATTAGACC